AATTCGCGGGATAAACTGCTCTACCAAGTTTAAAGTAAACTGTTTTCGAAGAGAATAAAGAGTGATTCTACCTCATGCAATAACCTGCACAGCAATCTAAGAAGTCGTTCTCAGAATTTTAACTATTTCCTCACACAACTATAAACTAAATGTGGCACAAAAACTCTACAGTAACGTTTTAAGACGCWAAAAAGATTGTCATGAATATATGTATATGCACATATTATATATATTTTTATGCGTTTCATATATGTAAGTATGATTACGCATTTCTCAAGCTAAGGTAACATATGTTACCGTTATTTATGCTATCAATATTTTTGGTTTATTAATTTATTACATCGCGCTGACATTATAACTGATTTTTTTTATTTCTACTGAATTTTGTTTAAAACACGAAATGCATAAATTCATAAAAAAGGGTTTGATATACATACAACTGTTTTTTTCGTGAAATATGACATCTATATTTCAAATGCTTAAATCTGTATTTTTCATTTGACTTCAGTGCGCTGTACAGTGTGAACCCACCATAAGTTATGCAAAGCAGCTGATAGGTTTACATATTGAAATTTCATAGAAAAACAGAGGAATAAGTGGAAGTGTTTTCTCGGTTAAAGTTTTCAGAGTCAGATGAATATTCAAAAAGTTTATTTATTTACCATTTTTAAGAAAATTAGTTTTATTTTATATTATTAAAAGTTTGAAAAAGGCAATTGATAGCGCTTGATATTTTATAAGAAAAAGTTTTAAGTTATCGAACGCTTGATAATTCATAAGTGAAAGTGTTAAGTTATCGAAAGCTAATAAAATAGCTGAATGTGTGTTTTCAGAGTTTTTAAGGCAACTAGACTGGTTTTCAGACTTTGGTGAGCGCGCCAACAAAGTGCTTTATGTGAAAATACATTGAGATTCATTACGAATTTATACATAATAATAAATATACACGTGACTATAGACTACCATATACATGTTATCTACGAAAAAGGCGACAATACATATTTATCAAAGATGGAGTAATCAAAGGAGTTATCGAAATAATAAAAGCGCAATGCCGCTCAAGTTAACGGTATGTACTTTTCTGATTTTAAATTTGCTTGATAAAAAACAAAAATACTAACATTTTTTTATAGATAGTATAATATATATGTATAACTTTTTACAGTTAAAATATACATAATTATTACATAACTTCGATATTTTTGAAAACTATTTTTTTAAGCCGCATTTTCTTTCAGTTTCCTATTGTATATACCTTTTATCGTATATTTTCGCTTTTTTGATAACAACTGTTCTCTACGATTTCCTTTCTGAACCATTAATCGCTAATCGATAGCAAACATTTGTGCCGATTGTTCAATGCAGGGGCGAACATTGCAATCGTCAAACGTTTTCATGCGCTACATTCGTAAATACTTGCTCAGAATTTTCACAATGTTTAAAGTTTTTATATTTTTAATAACTTACGACTTTTTTGTTAGAAAAATAATAATTTTATAAGCTGAGCATGGCATTTACTCTCAAAATGTCGAGAAAACGATTTCATGTTTCATWAATTTTTAGTAGAATTTTTTTTTAATTTTAGTACATATATTTTAGTTATGTTATTTCATTTACTATGCATTGCATAGTTATACATTTGTTGTGTCTTATAAATGATCACAATATGGTTTAAATATTTGAGTTGCACTAGAAGAGGGAAGGGGGAAAAGGCAAGTCGATAGTTGTAGGTTGGAAGACCTAAAGCTAAAAGTAGTAGTTTAGTTAAAATAAGTTCATATTATTGATAAAAATGTTTGCTTGATACATACGGTTGTAATTAAAGTCGATAACAATCGATTATTTCTCTCAAAACGATTTTGAATTAAAATTTGTAATTAAACGTTTCCAAAAAATAGTTGAAAAGGTTGAAACTATCGATAAAAATGCTGGCTTGATACTTAAAGTCGAAAAAATCGATTATTGCTCTAAAAACGATTCTTAACTACAATTTGCAATTAATCGCTTTGAAAAAAAAAATGGTTAAAAATGTTCAAATTATCGATACAAATATGCTTGCTTGATACATACAGCTGTAATTAAAGTCGATAACATCCGATAATTTCTTTCAAAACTTTTTAATTAAAACTTATATTTAATCGGTTTTCTTATATCTTAATTATAAACAAATAAAAAACGCGTTGAATGTTAGAAAGCTATTATTTTCATTAAAAATGTAGAAATAAGAATACCTAAAGCCAACAATGATAAATAAGAAATATATTAGTTGAAAAAATCAGTATCGATAAAATATATTCTGCGATACCTGCAATTGTAATTAAAGTCGATGATATCGATCATTCGCTTGAGAATTCTTTTTATTTAAATTTATAATTAATTTGTTTAAAAAAAGTATTTTTTAAAAATAATACCTAAATTGGAAATATAAAGTGTTTTATTTATTTGGTTGCTTAGTCTTAACTAGTCTTTTTGTCAGAAGTACAAGGCGAAAGTAGTAATAAATGGTAAATTATTGATACATATTCTTTTACCGATATTTATTTTTATAGATTTTTTTAGTGCAATGAGTATCTGAATGTGACCAATTTTGGGGGAAAAAATATATTTTCATCGATAAAATAAAAAATAAATATTTATCGATAAAATATGTATTTATTTTTTCTTCTATTTACGGTCAGATATTCATTGTATTAATTGCAGGAAAAAAATCGTATACACATCTTAATTATTTCTTCATGACATAAAATGCCTAATTATTYGATACTTATTTTAAGTTCGACGCATGATAAAGAAGAACTGTTTGCTTTAAATAAATAAATAAGTTTAGATATTTTAATCAAGCAATGATAATTACAACTTAAATCTGCAATGAAAGGGAAGAGAATATTTAAAAAATATATCGATTTCGATTATTGCCTAATGCTCGAAGCGCTATTAAAGGAAGCTATACATTTCAAGATATGTAAATTGAGCAATTTTGTTGCTTAATGTGTATTGCTTTAATGATTTATTGTTTTGATGCTTTACATAAAGGATGCATATCGATTAATCGATAAATGCCGACGACTTAAGTTTTATCGTATATAAAAATTGTTCATATTGTAGTTAGTTATTTTTAGGTAAAATGACTAAATATATTATTATTGTTATTAGGAAAGGATTTCGATAACTCGATTATCGATTGTTGGTATGGAGAGTTATATTTGTTTGTTAATGATTTTTATTTAAATTCTT